ATGTCAGTATCCAGTTATATTCTGTGTATCCAAGAAACAATCCAGAACTTTTTTTAAAGCAATCCAGTGAGCTGGCCAGAACCAACTCTTGAGGGAGTCTATTCCACATTTTCACAGCTCTTACTGTGAAGAAACCTTTCCATGCTTGGAGATTAAATTTCTTTTCCTCCAGACGTAAAGAGTGCCCCCTTGTCCTCTGTGATGACCTCAGGGTGAATAACTCTACACAGAGTTCACTATATGAACCACTGATGTATTTATACATGGAGATCATATCCCCCCTTATGTATTATACATGGAGATCATATCCCCCCTTATGTATTATACATGGAGATCATATCCCCCCTTATGTATTATACATGGAGATCATATCCCCCCTTATGTATTTATACATGGAGATCATATCCCCCCTTATGTCTTCTACATGGAGATCATATCCCCCCTTATGTCTTCTACATGGAGATCATATCCCCCCTTATGTCTTCTACATGGAGATCATATCCCCCCTTATGTCTTCTACATGGAGATCATATCCCCCCTTATGTCTTCTACATGGAGATCATATCCCCCCTTATGTCTTCTACATGGAGATCATATCCCCCCTTATGTCTTCTACATGGAGATCATATCCCCCCTTATGTCTTCTACATGGAGATCATATCCCCCCTTATGTCTTCTACATGGAGATCATATCCCCCCTTATGTCTTCTACATGGAGATCATATCCCCCCCCCTTATGTCTTCTACATGGAGATCATATCCCCCCTTATGTCTTCTACATGGAGATCATATCCCCCCCCTTATGTCTTCTACATGGAGATCATATCCCCCCCCTTATGTCTTCTACATGGAGATCATATCCCCCCCCATATCCCCCCCCCTTATGTCTTCTACATGGAGATCATATCCCCCCCCTTATGTCTTCTACATGGAGATCATATCCCCCCCCCCCTTATGTCTTCTACATGGAGATCATATCCCCCCCCCCCCTTATGTCTTCTACATGGAGATCATATCCCCCCCCCCCCCCTTATGTCTTCTACATGGAGATCATATCCCCCCCCCCCCCCCCACTATGTCTTCTACATGGAGATCATATCCCCCCCCCCCCTTATGTCTTCTACATGGAGATCATATCCCCCCCCCCCCTTATGTCTTCTACATGGAGATCATATCCCCCCCCCCCCCCCTTATATCTTCTACATGGAGATCATATCCCCCCCCCCCTTATGTCTTCTACATGGAGATCATATCCCCCCCCTTATGTCTTCTACATGGAGATCATATCCCCCCCCTTATGTCTTCTACATGGAGATCATATCCCCCCCCTTATGTCTTCTACATGGAGATCATATCCCCCCCCCCCCTTATGTCTTCTTGGAGATCATATCCCCCCCCCCCCTTATGTCTTCTACATGGAGATCATATCCCCCCCCCCCCCCTTATGTCTTGTACATGGAGATCATATCCCCCCCCCCCCCTATGTCTTGTACATGGAGATCATATCCCCCCCCCCTTATGTCTTGTACATGGAGATCATATTCCCCCCCCCCCTTATGTCTTCTCAAGAGAATAAATTCAGTTCCTCTAATCTTTCCTCATAGTTGATCTCCTCCATGCCTCTTAACAGTTTGGTTGCCCTTCTCTGTACTCTCTAGTTCCCTCAATCAAACCTTCAGTTTAAATCCACTAGATACATTTCAAGTGAATCAAAACACAAGTGTCTTGTCATCTTGTCATTTCTAAGGTTTCCACAGTCAGTAGAAAAGCCTGTCCCCTGCCAGCATGCTGAAGAGAGGGACGCTTTGTTCTGTGTGGTGGCGTAAGCTCTCTACAAAGGTCCAACCTAAAGTTCTGCATTAAGCAAAACACAAAATCCCTGTTGCCTGACTCCGCAGGGGGTGTACCTGACCTCTGAATAGATACCACTGCTCTTCAGAGCAAAGATCCTGCACAGGGGCGGACTGACCATTTGGAAATTCGGGCACTGCCCGAGGGCCTGGGGTCAGTAGGGGGCCCCATGAGATGCCCCTGGAACCCTTTTTTCATAGGATTTTTTGAGTTTGGGCAGGGACACGGGCCCCATAATCCCCTATTGCCTGGGGGCCCCATGAGTTGTCAGTCTGCCTCTAAACCTGCAGCATATTGTCAGGGGACAGGCTTTTCTACTTGGGTTGTGGCTCTTTGTTTTCTTTAACAAAAAAAAAACAATTTGCACACCTTTTTTGTTTGCACCTGAAATGTATTTGGCCAATTTAAACAAAGTTCAATTGGCCTTGAAGGGAATAAGTGCACTTATCAATTTTCTTGTTCCAAGATCCATACTTGCGCAATTGTTACTTTATGGACTTCTCTGGAACCATCTTCAGAGGTCAATTTTTTTTTTTTTTTTTAATTGCTGATTGTGTGCAGTAATACTGTGGCTGTGCCCATACACAAGGGATTAATGAGCACTACTTATTTCCATGCCTGTGGCTGTACATCATAACGTTTCTCCCTGACACTTCCTGGCACCGAAAGCCAATTTGAGATGCTTGACTGATATTTATGAAGTTGATGATAAAGGTCATTTTTGCACTTGGCAATATTTCAAAAAGTTTGTACCAGGAGTGTCATACCTTCAACTGGGGTGGGGGTTGCCATGCTTGCCACAACAAACTACTGAACAGATTTTTCTCTGTAATTGGTGTCTGCAAATGGATAGATGACCTCTACAATGTGCCTGCAGAAAAGTGTTCCTCAAAGGGTAGACGTTCCTGCTACTGGAGAACTATAGAGACCTGAGTCCCATTAAGCCTTTTTCTTTGGTAAAAGGAGTCTTCATGGTTCTCTCATGACAGGGTTTTGTTAAGCTTAGGGGTTCAGTGCTAATATTGGGTGTGACCGACTCCTGACACCTTGACTGGGTATCTCCACCAAGAAGCTGCTTTACAAGCTCTGGAACACAAGGCAAGGAACTGTAGCTACCCCAAAACTAGACCACTCCAGGTTTTGGGAGTAAACAAGAACTGCTTTATTATAGAAACACACAGAAATCCATTGGGTAGAAGCTAATCACATCATAGACAATACCCAACCCAGAAAGTCCAGCACCCACATAGCAATACATTATACATTGGAAATCATATGTTACAATGAGAGCTTTTGGGAGTGATCCCAAGGGAATGGTGGCAATCCTCAGACAAAATGTGATGGTCCAGGACCTCCAGATGATATGACCCAAAAAGTGATGTTTCATGGATGGGGCCGGAGTGACAGCTGGTCAAAGGTACCCGGGTTCAGTTTGTAGAACCGGGCAACAGTTCCATAGCCGTGGTTGCCAAGCTTTAATGAGATGTAATGCTGAAATTCTGAGGTTCCGAAGCAACCTAACCACCCTAGCCCATGTCCCACCAAAAGTAGAATATAGTCCCAAAAGAGCAATGTGGCAGCACAGTGGGCCATCAAAGCAACTACTAGTAAAGTTGACTGGTATTACTACTGGCCCTAGCTGCTATACAGTTCCATGCAAATGTGACTAGGACCTAGTGAAGTGCTGATAGAGTACTAGATAAAAGTCTGGATGAGCATAAAAGTCAACTAGTGACCAGCTCCTTCTGAATTAAAAAAACAAAAAAAAAAAACTGAGTTCTACAGGTAATGGTTCTCCTGCAGCCCCAAGTCTGTGACATTGGGCATTAGATGGATCAATTCATGAACCACACTGCAATCCAACATATTTGGGCTCTTCTCCACAGCTGATGGCCTGCATTTCTAGGTGTGTTCTAAGATGCATAAATCCCCTCTGTCATACAGATGACTTGCTACTGTCTAATTCTGAGTTCTACAACTTTAAAACATGACTTGTGATCTTATTATTCTGTGACAAGAACTGCACATCTGTAAATGTTCTCCTAAGTTCCTAGAACTCTTGTAGTTACTGAAAAGTCACCTTTTGCCCTACCAATACAATGCCTGATGCGCGCTGGGAGCTGATCTGTCATTTTTGTGAACATGGCCAAGAATTTCATAGGCACAATATTTCCATGTTTGTGCCATCTTAGCTTTGATCTGGGACCAGGAAGTAGAAGGCCCCTTGGATGATGCTCAAAAAATGTCCATCCTTTTTAGAGAGAAAAGTGTATGAAGGCATGCATTGTTGGGGAAGGGGGAGCACTGTGATCTGAGGGGATAATACCTGAAATTCTTCTTACTTGGCATGCGTGTACTTAACATGAAAAACATTTGATATGTCTATTTTAATGGGCATATTCTGACTCCACTGATAAGGCAAGACTGTAGTCTGGCAGTGAAATGGTGGTGCTGAAACTATGTAGGGCTTATGCTGATCAGGGAGGCTTGAAGAAGGCAGAGTCCAATGTGTGAAGTCTGAGACTGTTTGTTTATTCCTTGTGAAACATTCCCACTGGTTTAATGGCTGAGCCATGTCCCCGTCTAACACCATCCTGATTGTAATTGCTTCTGTAAAGTCCATTGAACAGGTTAATTGGTTGCTGCAGGCTGGGCAATAGCTAGAGAAGGTGTGTGTGGGTGTTTTCTCCCATGTTAAAATCAAAGCATATCTGGTGCTGTGGAAAATGTTGAAGATCTGGCTTTAGTATGGGAGTACTAAAACCAGTGAGCAACCGATAATCCACAACAACCACATTTTTAAAATCTATATTCTACGGATAAATGCAAAGCTCAAAGTGGGCAACGCTGAACCATCATACTGGGTCCTGTCCCTGGAGGACAACACTGAACCATCATATTGGTGCCTGGCCTTGGAGGACCATTCGGAACCATATTTGTCCTGGAGGAGCTTGGACTCTAATGTCCATAAAGCAATATCACTTCATCCATTGTCCAGCAATGGCAAAGTATTCTCACCAGTTGGGTCTCCCAGGGGGTGACTTGATGGATTTTCCTCTTTTTGGGTGGAGTAACCTTTCTAGCATTTAAGATGTAAAACTACATCTCTTAAAATACTTGGCATACTTAATTGCAGTTTCATCTTCTAGGGACTGGATCCAGCCTCCTCTCAACTGTGCAGGACTTGCCGTCCATTCCTTGGTTCTCAAAGTCTCGTGTGGAAAGACATCTTCAGATCATCTCAGTCTTGCAATGGGTCCTCAGCTTCCTCATCCTGGGTAAGAGTTTTTTTACTTTTTATATATATATATATATATATATATATATATATATATATATATATATATATATATATATATATATATATATATATATATATATATATATATATATATATATGCTAATCCCAGACATCTATGGTTTAAAGGTTTGCAGCAAATCCTTCTGGGAAACCAGTATTAGGTATACTGTTAAGTTGCCTTTAAAATTGTGTAGCCTTCTAATGTTATCCTTTTTTTTTTTTAAAAGGAAACCTGCAGTCAGATGGACATTAGGGATACGCTTTACAGTAGCAATGGTTTTGTAGGATTTTGATTTTATCCCTGCTGTATTAACTTGCCCCTTTTTATGACTGTATATAGTCTACAATGCAATAGGAAGGAGGCAATTGCCATGGCCTCCTTCCTACTGATGGTCACTGTGAACCAATTCTACTACAAGCCTAACTTCAACTTTCAGCTGCTGTGCAGTGGCTCAGCTTGGGTAATTCTATACTGAGCTTATTTCATGCTTCATAGGACTGAATAAGGGGTATTATAATAGAACTCCAAGAAAAAAGCTAGATACAGAGTTGAGTTGTACTTTTTTTTTTTTTTTTTTTTTTAACATGCTAAAGATTTCATTCTGTACAATTCTTGTAATGTATCTGGCACACTGTAAGTGATTCTTATTTTCTGGCTGATCAACTCCTGTCCTAGGGTGTTGGCCAGGGGCGGACTGACAACTCATGGGGCCCCTGTGTCCTTGCCCAAACTCCAAAAAGCCTATGAAAAAGGTACCAGGGGCATCTCATGGGGCCCCTTACTGACCCCAGGCCCTCGGGCAGTGCCCGAGTTTCCAAATGGTCAGTCCGCCCCTGGTGTTGGCTTATTTATTTTTTAAAATACATATTTTTACATAGGTGACAACACTGCATGCCTGTACAGTGCATTGAGTAGGGGTTGTCACCCTGGGTAAGGAAAAGTTGCCAGGTGAAGGGAAAAGTAGGTCTAGGGAATAAAACTAGTTCAGCCACCACATCCTAGATTAGATTTTTTCCTTGGGGTTTAGATATTTCAGAGAAAGGTGTCCCTTTCTTTGCAGACTGCATTGTGTGCAGCTGGTAACAAATGGGGAGGGGCATCAAGGTCCCCTGACTTTTTAAGGCCAAGGAACATTATCTGCAGCCTTTGTATAGGGCTATATTGACTATGTATATAGCCATGCCCTATATTGACTCTCCTGTTCTGGATCTCCTAGGGGTTACATGTACCGTGATCCTGATCTACATTTTCTGCACGGACTGTTGGCTAATTGCTGCCCTGTATGTCGCCTGGCTCGTGTTTGACTGGAATACCCCCAACAAAGGTAAATTCTTTTCTCCAAGTGAAAAATAGGACTCAATTGATTATTTAAAAAATATTTTTTTGGCTTGTTTAATTGTGTTGACAAGTGTATGTACTAGATAATTTGCCAAAATGTACAGAGCATTAGTAAATTTTTGTTGCAATAGATTTTGCATTGAAATGTGCTTGCTGAGCAGCAAGATGAGATTACTTACAGCTGAATGAGCTAGAGGGAGGATACACCCCTACCAGGGGCGGACTGACAACTCATGGGGCCCCTGGGCAATAGGGGATCATGGGGCCCCTGTGCCCTTGCACAAACTCAAACAAGCCTATGAAAAGTACCAGGGGCATCTCATGGGGCCCCCTACTGACCCCGGGCCCTCGGGCAGTGCCCGAGTTTCCAAATGGTCAGTCTGCCTCTGACCCTTACGCTATCCTACACTCTATCATAGCTGAGCTCGGAGACCATTCTGGGCTTCCCTATTAGGAAGCACAGCTTGATTTGGACACTGATCATTAAATGAAAGCTATTTTAAATATTTAGCTGTTTAAATATACAAAGTTGTTAAGTTTACTTATTTGCCCTTGAAGATCATATATAACATGTAGAATTTGCTATCTCGCCAGCAACAGGATGCTTGGAGATCACTCACTTGCACCTAGAGCAGGGGTGCTCAAGCCATGACCTGCAGGCCACATATGATCCTCGGAGCCCTCCAATGTAGCCCTCGAGGTCCAACCAGGATAATGCATGCCCTGGTTGGCAACCTATTGATTGCAATCTACACCAAAACCACCATCCCAGGACATTAGTGTGCATCGAGCTGGCAGCGGAGGAAGCAAGTGGCTAGAGAGGGAGCTGGAGCCGCATAAGCTGATGCTTCCTACCAAGTGATACCAAGTGCACTTTTCCTGGAACCTAACAGCTCAGAGACCGATGCCAGTGGAAGGGTTATCAACGGTTGGGCTGCTTTCACACTGAGCTGTGGGTACAGCACAATGTATCCGATTCTATCCTGTGGGTTTGCTGCACAGAGCCAGAGACTTCCTATTCTATCCTGTGGGTTTGCTGCACAGAGCCAGACTTCCTATTCTATCCTGTGGGTTTGGTGTGCTTTCTGAACTGTACCACACCCGCAAAATATAATGGTAGTCTATGGTTAACCTGCAGGAAAGCCGCAGCTGCACTGTGCTGCTCCCCTGGTATAGGTAAACGGCAGCACATCTGTGTTAAAGCAGCCTGCTAGGGGGCATAGGATAGTAAGGGCTCTTTTTACAGTTTTGTTTTGGGTGGAGGAAAAAAAAAAGACTGGTTATCAAATCCCTTCAGGTGTTGCTCTGTTTCTGGTGAGTGAGATTCTGCAGCATCTCAGCCAGTGATGGAGTGGCACCAGGTTATTACATCAGTACAGTACATCTCCCCAATACATGCATATTTCACCAGGTTTTATCCCTATAAAAATACTTCAAGTACAGAAAAATCCCTCTCGACTTGCCTGAAATCCATTGTGCCTTTAACGTTTGCTTGGGCTGAGAGCCCCATGGCTAAGCTGCATTGACATTCTTTGCTGAGTTGTCAGCTCTTCCCGCTGAACTACAGAACTTCACCTATTCCCTATCGCTCACACTCCACATGCATACATGGATTTTTTTCCTGGCAAAGAAGTGCTGCTCCCTTGAACCCCAAGAGCCTGTCTGTGTTATGTAGGAAAAAGGCTTTTGGGAGATGTAGTTCTGGTGGTGTGCTTATGTCAGTATTAACTGAACTCCTAGCAGTTGCCCCTGCATGCATTTTACAAGCCATTAAGTTACAGGCAGTAATATGCAATGCAATTTTATTTTTCCTACAGGAATAAGTTAAAAAAATTACAAACGTTAAATAATGGACATGCTCTAGATGGGGTGATAGGTCTGGCTGGTCATTTGAGATATGTCTAATGTACACTTTAATTGTGGTAAGCTTTTTTGCATTTCCTGTTTATTCTGCCTCTGAACAACTACCATTCTATTTTACAGGTGGCAGGCGATCTACGTGGGTCAGGAACTGGGCGGTCTGGAGGTACTTTAGAGACTACTTCCCAATACGGGTAAGTTGATGATGACTTCTGATAACTGTTGGAAGCACCAATTAGCATTACCAAGCCAGCCTTCCCAAGACCCCCCCCCCCCCCCCACCCACCACCCTGACAATGCAAGCATCAGTTTCCAATTAAAGCCACTAAACTGTCCAATGTGTTGAGTGATTTGGCAATCTAAAGGAGTGATATGGAAAATGCAATATTACTGGAGGTTCACCTTTAAACCTCTCTTGCAACATAAGGTGTGAATCATTAGGTCAAGATCAAGGTGGTGATGTATTGTAGTTGCTCATTATACTTTAGTGTTTTGTCTGTAGACTTCATGCACAGCTCTGTCAGTTTGTACTTTGTACATTTGATTTTCCAGCAGTGAGAATTTGTTTTCCTCAAGGAGTGAGGATGACCTTTTTAATTCCAAATGATAAAGAATGAAGTGTAAACTGAGCTTCCTTAAACTGCTTTGGCCTTGGTATTCCAGTTAAGAGTATTTGGGTGTGTAAATAAAAATGGAAATCCTCGATATTGTACTGGAACATCTTTTTGCTTGGTAAAGCCTAGTACACACAATGAGATGGTCGGATGAAAAATGCAGCTTCGGAATGATCGTCCAATAATCTATGCACGGCTTTTGAGAGCCATTCATGACAGTTCATGCAAAATTATCTGAAGGGAAAAGCAAGAATTTTTCTCATATGATAAACTATTTTTGTTTAATCAGTAGATTATTCGTTCGGTAGAAATCGGAAGACCAGGACCATGCATGCTCTGAAACGAAAAAATACATTACATCACTTAAGTTGTATTCTGCCTTACAAGATTTTAAAACTTTATTAACCTACTCATTTTCTTAGACTAGCATGCAAAAAAATTGACAATCATTTGTCTATTCTCATTGTGTGTAAGAGGCTTAAATGTAGCTGTACATGACAGCAACTCCACTGCACTCCTCTAGAAAATGAGGTTAATGGAATAGAGCAGTCAGAATTCCTGTAGCTGAAGACCACAAAGTCCCCCTTCCCCCAGGGAAAGAAAAGATCTGCCTAGACCCCTTGCTATTTAACTGCCTCCAACCCACCTTCTGGGCACACCTCCCCAGGAATTGGATGTAGCATGGTAAAAAGCCAACTGAACATTTGAATTTCAATGAACACATGAACCAAGGTTCAATGAAAACTGGTTTTCTAATCTATAGAACTCTCACCCCCCCCCCCCTTTTTTTTTTTTTTTTTTTTTTTTCTTTTTCTCAGTGCTGTACATTATAGTGGGGGACAGAGCATGAGACAATACAGTAACAAAACAAAATGAGTGGTTCAAGGGCCCTGCTCATTCGATCTTACAATCTAGGAGATGAGGATGTTAACAGCAGGGCTTAAAATTTCAAGTCCTGAGCTACTAGCCAGGCCTTAAGAGTTACTTGCCACCAACACACACACACACTTGTACACACACAGACATATGTACATGCGTGCAGACACATTTACAGATACATACAGACACATGTACACCCCCCCCCCCATAAAAAGTTGCAGTACTTCATTGTACACTCACAGATCTGGGTACTGCACTCTAGGGGGAGGCAGAGAGCACAGCACACACTTTCCTTTGCTTTCACTGCGCTCAGCTATTGAGCAGTCTGACAGCTCCCAGTACCAATGATAGATTCGGCCTGAGCTCTGAGCCTGCTTAGCAAGATGGCCCTGGGGGACACATTCTCCCCCACCATAATTTCCATTCCCCATAGGTGAGTGGACATTTCAAGCCTTGTTAACCGTTTCAGATATTCAAATAGCTGTGATCAGCTCTACTGTAACTGGTATATGTTCTGTACTTACAGGGTGCAATAGAAAACATGTAGGTCAGATTGGTGTGGATAGGTTCAAGGCTCATTCAGACCTTGGCATGCTGGGGAATTGCCTTAAAGTATGGCCAAAGCTCTTTTTGCCATACGTCTATGGATCTCAGGAGAGCAGTTAATTCTGCACTCCTGTGACCTGTTTTCAAAAGCAGGCTAATCCTCCAATCCAGGCTGTTAAGATCCCAAATTTAAAGTCAGAATCCACCCAGATACCTTGACCGTCAGTTCGCTTAGCCTCTCAGTGAGCTGCTGAGAACCTGAGTCAGCCACTCCCACCTCCTGCACAGCCCAGTGCTTCAGTGAGCGCTGGAGGGGCTGAGCAGAGAGCCGGTGACTGACAGTCCCCAGCCCTCTGCTCAGTTCTCAGTCTTAGAAGTGGCAGGGGACCGTGTGTGTGTCCCCCGTCCAGTAGATCACGCACATGCTTTTCTACATTTTTGGATCAAGTAGTCAGTTCTGATCTTCCTTGTCTGGATCAAGTGCCACTGCTACTTTATCCCATGTAATAAAACCATGGCATCCAATATACAAATGAAGAAGTTCCGGAGTTGAGCAATTGTCCACTATCATGCTTTTGAGTTTTTTTTTTTTTTTTTTTTTTTTTTTTTTTTTTTTATGGTGTTGAACTTTGTCCCTGGCTGACAGATGCTGACTAGCATCCCAATTAAAGGCCTGTTTCACTTAGCCATGGATGGTTCACATGCTTCCTTATCTAGGTTCTACCTTAAGTTCCTTGGTTGTAGGGCAAGATTACATGTATCACTTTTGCCAGGAATACTTGTAAGGCTCTGCCTTTTTTGCTTCAAAAGGGGTTTTTTTTTTTTTTTTTTTTTCCCTCATGTGAAAGACACTATGTTGGAGGTACTGTAATGTTCTGTTTATATACTCTAAGCCATTTCTTCAACTGTTAAAAACACAATAGAGGTAGCAAAGCATATATATACATACATACATACATACATACATACATACATACATAGTGAATGTTGAATACAGTAACTGAGTAATGGCAGTTTTAATCGTGCACCTGGACAACCCCTAAATCAATTTCAATTTACTCTTCCAACTTATATCATTTGTTTTTTTGAATTTTTTTTTTTTTTTTTTTCAGCTTGTAAAAACGCACAATCTACTTCCCAGCCGCAACTACATCTTCGGCTATCACCCTCATGGTATCATGTGTCTGGGTGCATTTTGTAACTTTGGCACGGAGGCCACTGGTGTGTCCAAGAAGTTCCCCGGTATTAAGCCATACCTTGCCACACTAGCTGGGAACTTCCGAATGCCGGTGCTAAGAGACTACCTTATGTCTGGAGGTAATGTCTTTCTTTTTAGATCATGCTATTATTTAGAGATTTTGATCCAGTTCTTGTGTTCTCTGGTTTAAACGAGTTGGCATAAGATTCAATAGTGGACAGTGGACTTTTTTACCTGTGGCTCTCCTCCAGTGTTTTCCCAGAGTGTTATCTATGGAGTCTTGCCAGCCATTCTCTAGCTTTGATATGTATTACTGTTTTTAGTCCAAGGTCATGAAGTAGACCTTTGTAACCTGAATCAAAATATTGCTAGATTTGCCTTTTTAGTAAATATACCTGATTACAAAATGAATTATCTTTAGCATTATGATATATTTGGTAATAAGGTATGTAATTAGTAAAGTGCTGCCCAAATTGTTGGCACTATATAAATCCTGATGACTACCATATTCTCAAACTGACCATGTGCTTGGCCCGTTTGTGAACAGAGATGCACCAAAGCACTGGCAAGAAAGTTTTATGTGTTTTACCCCATATTTGTCATCATATATGAAATTTTGGCATTTTCTCAAGCATCTATATAAATCTTGGATTCCTTATCCACCAGGAATTTGCCCAGTGAACCGTGACACTATAGACTACATCCTCTCCAAAAACGGGACAGGAAATGCTGTGGTGATAGTCATCGGTGGTGCTGCAGAATCCCTAAACTGTCAGCCTGGGAAAAATGCAGTGACTCTAAAGCAAAGGAAAGGATTTGTGAAGATTGCACTTCAGCACGGGTATGAAAACAAAATGCACGGGGTGTCTTTCTTAAAGATCACTACCTACGCCTCAATGTATATAAACCTTTACAATGAACTGTTTTTGCTACTCTATGTAGTCTTACGATGACAACTGTGCTCACTCATAGAAACCATATATCCTGTTGTCATCCTAGAACAGGAAGCTTTATTGGCAGGAACTCCAGATTAAAATAAAGGGGATCAAAGCCTAAAAGAACAAATGCAGTCACCATATAGTAATGTATTGCATTTTTCTTCTTGGGTCCCTTTTTAAGGGGAAATGGTAGCCAAAATGCTTTAAGCTTGGAAAGGTTATAATACAGGTTTTTATTGTGGCTATCACAAGGCCTTTTACAAAACTTTTAAAGTATAATTTAGTTCCACCATAAATGAGCACCGTGCGATTTTTGAATTTATAGGGCCAGAACACAAACTGCGTTTTGAGGGGCCCTCTAAAGTCTTGACAGTTGCTACTCTTTCAGCTGCCAACATATTATCTTCCAGATCTTGAGTATCCATAACATTTGATACAAACCCCTGTAGTTTACTTTCCTTAACTTGGAACTCTGTTACATGATGTGGTTATGCATGGCCAATGTGAAACCTGGCCAAGCAGGGCCAATGTGAAACCTGGCCAAGCAGCAACTGTCCACTTCATGAATCTTGCATCTAGAAAGGCCTTGGGGGTTATTTACCAAACCTGGAGAAGGCATAATCTGGTGTAGCGCTGCATAGAATACCAACTTTCAGGTTTTCTTGTCAAAGCTTAATTGAACAAGCTGAAGTTGGAATCTGGTGCAACTGTGCATAGTAGCCAGCTTCTTAGTGCTCCAGTTTTAGTAAATCTACCCTTTTTAGTCTTAGAAAGTTACTCTCTGAAGAGGCAAATATAATGAATACTAAAAATCATAAATGAGCAGGCTTACCTATGACATATTCTTGCATAAGCTAAGTTCTTTAAAGTGGTGGTAAAGTTTTTTTTTTTTTATTAAAAAAAAAAACACAAACAAAAAAACTTTTTTGCAAATTAAGGTCATCATTCATTGTATCCTAGCACATTATGAAAGACTTTCCTATGAAAGTAGCCCTCCGGTGACGCTGTAACCGCTGACTGGGCTTCCATCTTCACCCAGTCTTCGGGGTTCACAGGCTCAGGTCATTTGAGTGGGCAATCCATGATGTCACACCCGTGCATTCACGACACCATTTGATGGACAGTATTTTTATGTCCATGTAAAAGAACTTTAATAAGCGCATGCATGCATTCCGTTCTCGGAAATCCATTAATTCAGTATTGGTCAAAGTGTGTTTTTTTTTTTTTTTTTTTTTTTTTTTTTTTTTTTTTTTGTTAAATCTCCCCAACTAATCTTAATAGAGGACATAGACACCAATGAAAACTCGAAGGTCTAACACCACAAATATGCTTTAAGAACAATTGGTAAATCATCTTCCTGAAGAGAAGGGGTGTGTTTGTGTGGTGTGTTTTTTTTTTTTTTTTTTTTTTTTTTTTTTTTTTTTTTTATAGAAGATTGCAAAATATCCAATTTTTAGAATGGATCTAAGGACATTATGTACTTGTACAGTTATCATGTTCTCTTCTGTTTACAGTGCTGATCTAGTGCCAGTCTACTCATTTGGGGAGAATGAAGCTTATAAGCAGGTGGTGTTTGAAGAAGGTTCCTGGGGCCGCTGGGTGCAAAGGAAATTCCAGAAATATGTTGGATTTGCCCCTTGTGTCTTTCATGGTTGTGGCTTCTTTTCGGCAGAAAGCTGGGGGTTGGTTCCATATTCCAACCCAATCACCACTGTTGGTAAGTTCATTGAAGTGAATGGACAAGTATTCAAATGCAAGCTGCCTAAATTATGTTTAGTGTATTGAAGCTAAAAAACCATCCTGGGGAAATACTGCTGCAGGATTTCACTAGTGCTCGGCACTTCAACTAGCAATGTGATCTTATAGTAGAGATCAACTTTTCTAGGTTTTTGCACATGCCCAGCACTGAAGGGGCAGCTGGAGAAGTATCTTCTTCCAAAGTGTTAAGCTTATCTTGGTGCTTTCTGAGATACAAATATACAGATCAGGAAGTCGGCAGTGCGATCTGTATACTGCTTAATGTAGTATTGAGCATACCAAATGGATAGGATCTTCAGGAGCAAAGGTTACCATTTTTGTCCACTTTCCTAGCTAAAAAAACCATCACTTCCACCCTCCGTTTCAGTATTTCTGATCTAAAGTAGTTTAGGTGACTAACATAACAATTTTCCTTTCAGTTGGAGAACCCATTACTGTCCCCAGAATGGAACATCCAAGCCAGAAGGACGTGGACCTCTACCACAGCATGTACCTAATCTCCCTACAGAAGCTCTTTGACAAATACAAGACTAAGTTTGGCCTCTCAGAGTCTGAGGTTCTGGAAATCAACTGAAGCTTTGTCATTCACTGACTGCAATAAGACTGCTTTTTTGGGAAGATATCCTCCTATCGGGAATCCTATCCCCAGGTTGCTCTGCATCATTCCACAGGGCCTGATTGTCCTTTTTTTAGGCTTTATCCACAAAGCTCTCAATGACAATCTGACTACATTTTTCACCTGTACATGTTTTGTACAGGTTTGTCTCTTGCTTTGCTGCTTGAATTGATGGAAAAACAGAATTGTATTTACTGGGTCTGTCCATTAAAAATGTATGTTGGATTAATGTGAATAGGTTGACTTGTCTACTGGCTTTCTGCATCTTTCTGGAATTTTGGCAATGAGATTTCTGCATTAATACTATGGCAGTTATCTTCAATTTTCAGTCTCCATTATTTTTTCATATGTGAAGAATGAATCCAGGGCGTTCTTACCATGGACGAAGCTGGGAATACTCCCAGGAGGCTCTCCATACTGAAACCCTGAGATGTACAGAAAGCCAGTGGATTGCGTGGCCCACCAGAAGCCGCTTGTCACGGATTTTCTTTTGTTTTTACTGTATTTGGCCTTCTAGTTCCAGTTATTAGGTGCTGGGAGAGCATATCTATGGTAATCACATCAAGATGTTTGCTGTCTTTGTAATAGAATGCTAGAATCTCCTTGCAATCCTCAGGAGTTATCCATTATGACTTTCTCAGTATTGTATGAGATGTGCCTAACTTTAAAATCCCGAATTTTTTTTTTTTTTTTTTTTTTACGAATAAGCTGGAATATTTTTGGGGTGGAGGGAAGGAAGGCTTTAACATGGTAATGTGGCTTTAATGAATTCTACAGTCTTGTTATGAAGGTCAAACAAGGCATTTATTTTGTAATGGTTGGTTTGAGTGCATAGTATGGTGGCGCTTGTAAAGGCTTTCGAAGAGCACCTGTTGGATATAGTTCAGAATAATCCATTCTGAAATCCGACTATATATGTAGAGACAATCCGTTTTTACAAAAGTATTAAGATACTTATGAGGAACAAAGGACTTGGCTACTCATGGATGAAGCTGGTTCTTGCAGAATCTAAGGATGGTATTCTGCTGTAAAGCACAATAGCGGTCTCTGTAGGGTCTGGCAAATGTGTGATCAAACTTGCTGTGTCTTGAAACCAAATTACACCAGATTTGATACATGCGTGAGTTTTTGCTGCAGAACAGTTGAGATTGGGAGCACTGCCTATGGCAGTGGTTCTCAACCTTCCTAATGCCGTGACCCTTTAATACAGTTCCTCATGTTGATGTGACCCCCAACCATAAAATTATTTACCCAGTAATTATAATTCATGAGTGTCGTTTTACCTCCAATACTGCTGCTTTTAACACAGCACCTGCTCTTTACAAATCGGAGATATGTGTTTTTTCTGATGGTCTTAGGGGACCCCTGTGAAAGGGTCGTTCAACCCCCCCCCCCCCCCAAGGGGTCGCAACCCACAGGTTGAGAACCACTGGCCTATGGGGTATATGAGCGTTCTGTATTGGTCAGAAAGTCTCATGCTTTGCTTGGTCACTGAAAAGAACCACATGATGGTTTGGGCCAGTACCAAGTACTCAAATGCTGCTGACCTGGGAGCAAGTTGTTCATCCAAACACTTAAATATTTTCCGCCTGTGACCAGGCACAGATGATTATCTGGTATTTTATCAAACTACATTAGCAGTGTGCTTCTGGGTTGATGTATCAATGTTAAACCAGGTGACTAGCATTTTCAGCAATGCCAGACTCTGCCTTTTTGTTTTTTTTTTCTCTTAATGGCCCTGTCATGGCTTGCATGCCATTTAATTATTCAACAAATATTTTTATTTTTACTAACAATCAGTTAATGTACAATTACCTGCCACAGCTTCGCAATCTCCTTGCTGTTGCATATCTTTAATGGAGAGGTATAGACTAAATTTACCTGGTTAATAGTCATAATGGCAAGCCTTACCTTGCAGAACACGACAGTAAACACCGTGGACCTTTCCTTTCCAAAGCAAATGACAAGCATAACTGTTCATATTTTAGGCTGTTATCAAAGGTCAAAGAATAAGATTTCAGTCCTTAAACAGGCAATCTATAAATTAACATTACAATCCTTTTCCAAAAAAAAATGGTTGTAAAACCTTTAAATATACCCAGTGAAGTGACTGGCCTCAGATGATAGAGATGAAACAAATCCTCTTACATAAGTGTTTGTTTGTTTTTTTTTACCTGTATCTGAATGGACGTAGAGAAAAGATTGCAAACAGACAAGCTTTATAAATGTATCACTTTGGTTTAAGAGTTCCGAAAAAAAAGGGGGTGGAGAGTTTCCATTACTCTGCTGCAGAGCTCAGTGAGGAGAACTCTGAGAGATGATTGGAGAGAGGAGACACACCACCCCTCCATACAGCTCACAGGAACAGAGCTGAGGCTGTCAGTCTGCTGGAGCTCCCTCCTCTGTCACAATTTTTCTCAGTGTCTGCAATAAGCATGAATCTCTTCTAACAAGTTTTCCAGAGGAACAAGGCAGCATATAGAAATGACATTTGGTGCTCTGGATAGAAAAGTACACACTATGGAGAGATGTGCTTTGTTCATACTTCATGTCTAGAGTTTGCAACCACTTAAGTTCTGACCATTATGTAGAGACTGTTATGTTTGAGGGTTCCTTAAAGAGTTTCCATTCGGATTTACCAAAGAGGGATCAGTAGGGGTTATGAGTGAAATGTATCAATCCCTTCAATTCTTTGAGGTGATTGGGATTGTAGGTGCCTCACTTAAGTGGAGCTCCAGTCAAATTTTTAATAGTCAGCAGCTGCAAAAACTGTAGCTGCTGACTTTAAAAAAAAACAAAACCCACCTGTCCCAGGATCCTGCGGTGTCCTCACCGCAGCCTGTTTCACTGGCCATCCTCACCTCGGCGCTGGCATCTTCAGTGTGGCCACCCAGCTGTGACCGCTTGTGGCTTCACAGCCAGGTGCCCACTGCATATGCACAAGTAATGCTGCGCTTTCTGGTCCCAGAAGACTACAGGGTGGGAGGCGGGAGGACAACTTCAGCTTCCAATCGCCTTGGCGTCGCAGCAGAAGTGGGAGTGAGTACCTGTCAATTTGGGTATCTACTCCCTAAAGGTGCCAATCCTTCTCAGTGATTGGAATAGAAGCAGACTTGGCTCATCTGTCACTATGCTCTCTTCTCTGATCGTGTTTTCTTGTTCTGTGTTCTACTTCTCCCACTCGGTATTAGCCTCTTCCAGTCCCTGTACAGCAGAGCTCAGACAAAGTTAGGCTCAGATATTTGTTCTGCTTGCATGTGTTTAAAAAAAAAAAAACAAAAAACAAAAATAAAGTAGGTAAAAGTCTGTCAAGCTGAAAACAAAAAAACAGAGTAAAAAAAAAAAAAAAACCCATTGGTACTCTCCTCTCCCAGTGGGGACATAATGCCACCCCTCCACCACCACTTTGAGTTGGCGCACCTTTTTGATTTTCCAGTGCAACGTTGCTGTTTATTAGAATCTGTTCCTTTCTAGGCGTTTCCAAGGCCTAGCACCTCAAAACAGCCAACATTAAGAGATTTAAAGTGCTTAAAGTCCTAATAGGGAGCAGGTACATGGTGCCGATTTACCTTTATTGGTTAGTAATCCCTCCTGTCAGCCTCTCGGTAATGAAGCCATTAGTAACCAAGTGAAACCACATCAGACTTTGAGGCTATGCCATACCGATCGACTGCGTGGTGGGGAAAAGCTCTGACCCCCTTGCACTAAGCCACCCCCAAAGTTTGTAGTGGAGACCACTAGTGAGTGAGCTATAGGTTTCATTGTAGAAGCAGATGTAGGAAGAACCTATGTGGTTTGATTAGGTAGGGCCTGTTAATTTTAAAATTTGTTGCGTTTAAGCTATGTGATCTGCTCTTAAACTCACTGCAATTGATGAAAACGGTAGATATATAAAAAAAAAAAACTACAGTATCAAGAAGTTTGATTGTATTCAATATGGCTAACCTTTTTTATCTGGCAATTCAACAATCTGTTGCCATAGTGGGGGGGGTCAGGGTTTTATTTCCTAACGTGGCAAATGGAGCAATAGGCTGCACAGCAAAGCAGCAAAGTTCCAAAGTTCCACAAGACTTAATTTCTGTAAAAAAATGAATTCAGAGCTTTGAATGTTTCTGTTGGCTGCTTTGTAAATGCGCACAATGTAGTCCTTTTTTTTTTTTTTTTTTTTTTTTTTTTTTTTTTTTTTTTTTGAACAAATGGAGCTCTAGTCTTTAAGTCAGCATGTAGCAGGCCCCTTCTAAGCACAAGGAGTCGTAACTCCCAATATGTTTGAAGCACAACCAATGCAATTGGGTATCTTAGACCATAACTTCATATTTATAGTCTCCCCTGCCCACCATTCAGCAGTATGAATGTCTTTCAGTTAATGACTGAATCCTAATCTCAGTGTTAATATGTAAATGTTGGGTGGGAGGGGGGGGGAATTCTGGGAAAAGTGCAATTTCTTTTTTTTACGCATGATTGTAAAAACGAAAGACCGGATATTTTATTAATGAACTCACAATGTGTATATACCAATGATGGACTAAGTGGGGTTTATTGAAAATTGGTGATATTTTTGTAGAAGTGTTTACATTAATTTCTGTTCTTTCTGAATGGGATACAATGTGATCTATGGATTTGATTAATCTTAATTTATTTAATGTGCCTTGAGCTGTATTGATTGTATTTAAAAAAAAAAAAAAAAAAAAAAAGTCTACCCTGTTCAAAATGGTTTGCTCTCATGTATCACTGTATTTTTGTACAAGTAAATGCTATGTAAATAAACACATGAACTGTCTTTATAAGGTGTGGGTGTGAAAAAGTTTGTGTTTTTTAGTTTTTGTTTTTTGTTTCTCGTGTGGTTTGTGTGGTTTTTTTGTTTTTTTTTTTTTTTTTTTTTTTTTTTTTAGGTTTTCTACATACTACTAAATTAAAAAAAATTGTATGCATAGGCTATAATAAAGCACAAATCTGAC